GTCTGAAAATAATTGAAACACGGAGAACACTGAAAATAATTGAAACACTAGGAATAAGTTAAGCCTCTTCAAGGCGTTCAGTTAGTTGGGGCTCAGCGCGAAAAACGGCGAGTGAAAAAATATGGGAGAAGCGCTTTCTCTCGCCGCGTTTCTCCCCTATTTTATCGCCCGCCGTTTTTCGCACTGCGCCCCAACTAAGGCCCTCTTTACACGACCCCAGGTTGCTTATTACCTCGGGTTGAATCACCGCGGCGGGTAATATAACTCTTTTGCAGTCAAATGTTTATAAGCGTTTACATGGAAACAGTAGTCAAGGCGGGTCAGGCCCCCTTGCCGGGTAGGTCGAGACGCGGGTTGACCCGGCGAGAAGGGTTGAAATTTCTTCAATTCTTACATGAATAAAACAGTGGGCCAAAAGCTAACACGGGTTGGTACTTTCAGTCAAATAACCATGTTGTTTCGTTTTTTTGGTTTCTACATCAGGACCTCTCACCATTCCGTATTTCTTAGCACTCTCTGCGATGATTCAACCCGGGGTAAAAAAGCAAACCGGGGTCTTGTAAAGAGGGCCTAACTGCACGCCTGGAAGAGGCTTCACTTATTACTAGTTGCCCCGGTTTCGATTATTTTCAGACCCAAATCATTTTCACGGCGTGGAAAGCATCTNGCACGCCCGGAAGAGGCTTAACTTATTACTAGTTGCCCCGGTTTCGATTATTTTCAGACCCAAATCATTTTCACGGCGTGGAAAGCATCTTTTACGAATTTTTTTTCTTTGTTTTGCGCTAAAAGCCTTCATGTAGTGTGTACTAACCTTACTTTATTTCCAAATTGAAATCAGTAATTCTCGACCGGAGAAGATATTAAATTAGAAAAAAATACATTGCCGCAACTGCACGTGGAATTGGCGAGACAAGCGACGCTGCCAGTTAAATGGCTTTTTTGGGAAAATACTTTAGAATTTGTTTTCTCAAAGTGCAACTTTACCTGTGCATTTGTTTGTTTCTTTATTTTTCGATCCAGATTTATTTTATCTTACTTTTTTCAGCGCTGAAAAATTTTTCAAGGTATTAGTATGAATTTCATCAATCAATTAACTTTAGGACGCACAATTAACAAGTTGTTGAATGGTTCGAGGGTTAATTCACACGGGCAGTTTATTTTTGGAAAGCAAAGCTTAAGTTTGTTTCGAGGCAACACGGCTTTCCAAGGAAACCGAAGGTGTAATTTCTTACATTTTCCAGACATGGTCAAAACTGGACTGTTCTTTACTTTTTTTTCCTAAATGTGAACTGCTAACTATGAAAATCATGAGTTGAATATACCACTTGGACTGAATGAAATATACGCGATATGAACAGTCCACCTCAGGCGTTGTGAATTTTCCAATAATTATTATTTTTACTTCTTAAATTTCTATTTCTAGTATATTTACATATTTAATTATTCTTTTAATTCACTTTTAAATTTTTTATTTCTATTTTTTTAAATTTCTTTTTCTTATTTTTTTTTATTTTTTTTTTAGACTCCGCACTCCGCGTTTTCGGAACAGCCGGAAGATCCAAACAGTTGACAAATAAAAATTATGGCGAGTGATGAGTAAACAGCTACTGAAAGGTTCAGCATTACGTTTAGGACAGTCCAACGAAAGTGAGAAAAAGTTTTGTCGGCGTCAGCGGACACTGTCGGCATCGAAGGACTTTGCCTGCTTGACCGTTTCTAAATTGCTGTTTGTTCACTGAAAACTGGGAACTAGTTTTGCCCAACATCACTTGGTTCTTCTAGCGTGAGCCTTTCGCAAAGGTTTGTGATTTAGTCAACGAAGGCAAGGCAAGGCAAGACAAGGCAAAAAGAAAAAAAGAAAAAAAAAAAAAAGGAAAACGAACTGAAGTTTTAACGGTAATACCTTTTTTTCACACAGGATGTTTCCAGGAGACAAGATTAGACAAGTTAGTAGGGAGCTCAAGCAATTGACGACAGCGACCACGAAGACAACGCCGAGTAAAAAAAGAATTTATATCTCACCTTCGAGTTTCCCAATTTTCTAGATCTATTTAGTGCGCCTATTGGTCTCAGAACTTGCTCAAGCGTATCGCCAGCGCGCGTTT